AAAAAAAATAAGTTGCAATCAAAGGTGAAAGTAAATAATTATTTTTACTCGCATTACTGTGATTAAGTAATTTTATTTTGTGTATTTTCACTTTTTAAGTAATCTTTTTTTATTTTATTTTTTAAATTTTTTTTTAATATTATTTTACCTTATAAAATTATTTTTAATATTATAAGGTGAAAAATATTTCATATTATTTAGGTGCACCAAGAAGTCCTTACGGACTTATCACAGAGACCGCGGATGAGCATTTACCAATGTTGCAAAACTTGGCTAGAGGTGGGTTTTGAACCACGGATCCTTTGTTTCTGAGGCAAGTGCGTTACCACTGCGCCACGGTTGCTCAAAATCTTTGTAATTGTTAACTTAACTTTTACTTTTGTTTAACTTTTATATAAGTTTTTTCACTACATTTAAAATCATATACATTAATAGGGAAAAAAGTCATGAGGCAATTACATTGTTTATTTAACAAAAATTATGATTTAATTTTATTTGCTGATAAAAAATAGCACCTGTTTTATAACTTTGTTTCCTTATTATAAGGCTAATACTTTTTATTAATGCTTTAAGATAAGTTATGAAGTATTTGCAATTATGTAAAATATCACTTAAGTAACAGTACTCTAACTCGAGCGAACAGTTTTGTTACTTTTTCAACCTTCTACCCGGCAAACAAAAAGATATCTAAAATGCATCTAAAAACTGGTCTAAAAGATGTCTAAATTTAGGTCTAGAACGGGACATAAATAGACATCTATCTTATAGACGTCTTTCAGATGCATTTTATTCGACACAAATAATTGCCTTAGATGCATAAAAGATGTGAAATATACATCTTCCAGATGCATATTAGATGTATAAAATACGTCTCTTAAATAGATGTCTAAGGCACGTTTAAAAAAGATAGATAATAGATAATTTTTTAGCTAATAATAGCTCTTTTATGCATCTAATATACATCTCATATACATCTTTAAATGTATATTTCACATCTTTTATGCATCTAAGGCATTTATTTGTGTCGAATAAAATGCATCTAAAAGACATCTATAAGATAGACATCTATTTATGTCCCGTTCACAACGTGAATTTAGACGTCTTTAAGACCAGTTTTTAGATGCATATTAGATGCATTTTAGATATCTTTTTGTTTGATGGGACTTGTTTGATACAAAGGCGTTACAGCGGTTAAATTAGTCATAAAAAAGGATTAAATTAAATAAGTAAAGAAACATTTTAACTAACATTACTTAATTTTTATTTCACAAAAATATACATAAGAAACTATATTTCTTCATTGCCGTCAACATTTTCTTCCACGTCGCCGATATCTAAAATATATACATTAATGACATTTAAATGAGTTTAAAAGACATGTAGAATTCTGAATCTATTTTTATGAAATTATATATATATATATATATATATATATATATATATATATATATATATATATATATATATATATATATATATATATATATATACATACAGTATCGGACAAAACCAGTGCAACCAAATGATGCTAATTTAGTTTCTTTGTATAAAAGTGCTGCATTTTTTCAATTTAGTGAAATAACTATGTAACTGTTTAGTGACAACGTTCTTCAAATTTTATTCATCACAAAGTTCATTATTTGTACACGAAAATTAATAAATTAATCAAAAATATTAAAAAAAGTTGATTTCCTTCTGGACAAAACAAGTGCAACTCCACAAAATGTTGACCAAGCTGTATTTTGCTATCAATATTTTGTGGTGAACCCTTTGTTGTCGATCACAGCCTTGCATCTTTAAGGCATAGATTCGATCAGGTGATCAATGAAACTTTGTGGAATCGCTGCCTAGGCCTTTTGGATTTGTTCAAACAGTTCATCCTTATTACGAACACATTCATGATTAACTCTGCAGTTAACGATCTCCCACAGGTTCATGATTGGGTTGAGATCCGGAGATTGAGGCGGCCAATCCATCACCAATAGATGGTTGTCTTGAAACCACTGCTTGACTACTTTTGCAGTGTGTTTGGGATCGTTGTCTTGCTGAAAAACCCATTTTATTGGTATATTCCGTTCGGCATGAGGTAACATAACATCTTTCAGGATATTTTTATACATGAAACGGTCCATTATTCCATTGATTCGATGTATTTGACCTAGACCGTTAGAAGAAAAACACCCCCAGACCATTACATTGCCTTCACCATGCTTCACGGTCTTATGGCAGTAACGTAAATCAAGGCGTTTTCCGGCTGCTTGACGTACAGACAGCTCTAATTGCTTTTGTATTTCAACTGATGATATCAAGGGATCCTTCTTGACAGATCTGACGATCATAGAATTCTCTCTAGAAGTGGTGGAACGAGGTCTTCCACCATTGTTATCTGCTGTCAACTTCCCTGTGGAACAATATTTGGAACATAGCCTTGATACGATCTATTTTTTCACGCGATATTTATCACAAATACTTTTTTGTGACATTCCACTTAAGTAATCGCAAATAATTTTCTCTCTTAGTTCCAATCCAAGACTGTCGGGAACCATTTTTGCATTTGAAGTCATAAAAATAAAAAAAATAAATAACCACACTTCTCAAGGCTTACCGTGTTACATTTACCTTGTGATGATAAAATATGGCTCTGTGGAACATAACGTCTTGGTTGGATGTGGACTGTATTGATGTAATGAAACACTTGTTGTATTTCACTTCTGGTATTGATGTTCTTCGATAAAACACTTTGATAAAACTCACTTCGATAAATTGTCTTGATAATACTGACTGATTGACTTTCATATACTGACTGAATTACATGTCTCTTATATAGTAAAATGAACCTGTGTGAACCTGTTCTGGAAGATTCTAGATGCTTCTTTTCAATACTTCTGGAAGCTTCTGGATGCGTCTGAATGCTTCTGAATGTTTCTGGATACTTCTGGATGCTTCCAGATGCTTCCTGATGCTTCTTCTGGAAACTTCTGGAAGCTTATGCATGCTTCTGGAAACTTCTGGATACTTTCTTTAATTATTAAAAAACTTCCGTGACGTTGACACGGACCAGACTTGAGAAAATGAACCAAACCAAAAAAGTTGCACTTGTTTTGTATGCTGCAAAATGGCACTTGTCATCGAAATTCTGCCTGTGTGCTGTCACCTGTCAGCTGATTGTTCATATCATGGCATGCTATGTCATTCCAGACTCCTGAACTGTTTGCTGTGGTAGTATAGTTCAATTCATTTTTAAGACATAAAATTAGGAACACTTTTTAGCATTGTTCGATGTTGGTTGCAAATGTTTTGTCCAATACTATATATACACACATATATATATATATATATATATATATATATATATATATATATATATATATATATATATATATATATATATATATATATATATATATATATATATATATATATATATATATATATATACATATATATATATATATATATATATATATATATATATATATATATATATATATATATATATATATATATATATATATATATATATATATATATATATATATATATATATGTATATATATATATGTATATATATATATATATATATATATATATATATATATATATATATATATATATATATATATATATAAACAAGAAGATTTGTATCTCAACCAGATACAATAAACAAAAATTTTTTTATGAAAAAACTAAAGGAACTTGTATTATGGATACAAAAATTCTAGCATGACACAAAAAAGTCGAAGAATATCTTTTTAATACAGATATCAGTTTTGTAAATACTATTAAAACTATACCTCGTATAACACTCCATATATTTACTAGATTTTCTATGCTTATCTTTTCCCCATTTCCTTTTCGATTAAATTTGGACTGTAACTGATTCGAAAATAACCTGATAAATATTTTAACAATAAACTGAAATATATTTATAAAGATTTTTATTTTAATATAGGTAATAAATTAAAATATATTTCAATATATGAATGCTTAAAGTTATGAAAAGTAAAAGCATTAAATTTGAAAATAAAATGCAAAACAAGGTTTAGCATTACACTTACTTTAGCACACAAACAAACTTAAACACCTACAATGAAGCTCCCGAGTTTATCAAATTGTCATGTTAAAAGTAAATCCATAACAAATAACGGTTAAAATGAATTGCTTTTGGTCCCTTTTAATCATATTTCTAATAATTAATAAAAACATAATCATTTACCTTTTCATGATCGAAAAAACATGTTCTCTTGGCTTTCCACCACCAATCTTTTTCAAACTATCAAGCTGAAATAAATGTAATAAAAACTAGTGTAACTTAAATTTCTTTACAACATATTGAGTCTAACACAAGCTAGTTATTTTAGTTCATTTACAAATACTTTTCATGTAGATTCTAAACTAGTAAACCAAATTTAAACAAACTTATTAAAAATTAAGATAATTAGATATTACCAAATTAGTATACTCGGTTTTATCTTTTAGTTTATTATCCAGTGTAACCACTTCGTCCACTGATTCTAGCAACTTCACCCCAGTAGTCTGAAACTTAATTTCTATAACTTCTTTTAAAAGAACTTTTATTTCTGTAAGCTCGTTGAGAATAACATTTTGCATCTCTACAAACAAGAATAAAAAGATTGATTAACATATTTAGCTCATAAAACCAAATAGCAAAACAATGAAATAAGAACTTTAAAATTCAAATTATGCTTGAGTAACTCAAACTAAAATTCCAAAAATACATGTAAGTTTTTTAATTACTCCATCGCAGAAGTTGCCATAATATTTTGGAAAACCTACTTTTTAAATTAGCTCAAACTTTATCCTGTAAAAAGTTACGATATTAAAGAATTTTGTTTAACTACTAAAGGTAAAATGCTACACACATGATTTATTGGATCACAATATTATAAATAATCCATTTCTATTCTTTTATACCTATCTTTTACAATTATTTTAATACAAAAACAAATTAATAAAATCCACATTAACATTCAGTGGTGTAAAAACCAAAAATACTCATATTAAAACTTGAAACTCTTTGACAATGTGAACTTTGCTTGGTTTTATTCTGTTCATCAATAAAATGTGAAGAAAAATTATCTTCTTCAATCTTTGAATCTGATAACAACTCTATTCAAAAGAAGTAATTATAATTAGAACTATAAATAATCCCTCAACCATACCTGTTACCTAATTTAATTTTTCAACCAATTTTGTACTCTTTCAATTTCTGAATTTAAACAATTTCAACATGCTTTCAATCAATTTTCAATTTTCATATCAAGTTGATTAAAGGATTATTTAATACAATAGAATGTTGTCAATCATATAAATATATGTAAACAATTTAACAACATTACATATAATAGGACACCCAAATAGTTAAAATAAAAGGAAAATCTTAGTAATACATAAAAAAGACTAATAGCTAGATAGATATTATTCAGATCAAATTAAACAAGAATCTATTTCAGTTTATAAACCATTAAGAAAAAAATATGATATTTGTGTTGTACTTTTATCATTGAGCTTATTCATAACAGGTGGCGGAGGTTCTGGCAATGAAGAGCAGTATGATTTGCTATTCTTATTTTTAATGCTTTCTTTAACATATATCTCATCTGATGTAGAAAGTTGTATTCTTTACAACATGAAAATGAATCTAATTATAAAACATTTTGCTACAAAAAAGTAATTAAGTTACCTTTAAAAAAAACTTAAAACAAGTTAGATACTGACTATCTGTTATCTTATACTTTATCAATGGAAATTTGTGCCATTCTTTTGTTGACGAAAGGTTGTTTTTCAGTGCATGATTATAGTTTTTTTTTTTAGACAATAAATTTGTTACTATTTTGTTATTACAATAAATTTGTTGCTATTCTTATTTGTCAATCCACTTGTTTAGTGCATAATTTTTTTTTTTTTTTTAACATCTTTACTTCCAACAAGGCTGCAAGCAACCACTATAAGAGTTGGAAGTTACTGGAAGAGAAAAGACTAAATCTGTAGAGCAAGATAACGATTGACTGATGACTTAAAAGATTGCAAATTATATGAATCAGGAAAGCAAAATGAAGGAAGCGAATTCCAAAGAACTGATGTTCGAGGAAAAAAACTAGAAGAATAAGAGTTTTTGAAGCACTTAGGAACAGTCACAGAAAAAGGATGAGACTTAATTGAATGGCGAGTAACACGAGAATGAATTTTAGTAGATGGCACAAGGGACGCTAGCTCTTTAGAGCAGTGCCCATTATAGTATTTGTAGAAAAGAGAAAGAGAAGCAACATTACGACAATGTGACAAAGGTTGGAGATTGGCTGCCAGAGCAGGTCCAACTATGTTTACAATTCGTTTTTGCACCTTGTCTAAAAGAGAAAGAGCATCATTAGAAGATCCGCCCCAGATGTGGCAACAGTATTCCATACAGGGACGGATTTGAGATTTATAGAGATAGAGAATAGAATCTGGAGTAAGAAAGTGTCGAGCTCGATAAAGAGATGCAACCTTAGCAGATGCTAATTTTGCAATGGATTTGATATACGGTTTAAAAGAAAGATCAGAAGTAAGAGTTAATCCTAGAAGATGAATGGTAGATGACTCATCTAGTACATTACCATTCATAAATATAGGAAGATCTAAATTATTACGATAACGATTGGACGAATAAAATTGAGTTTTATCTGAATTAAAGTTCACCAGCCACTGTGAGCCCCATGCTGTAGCAGAAGTGAGATCCTTTTCAAGCTCAGATACCCCCTCCAAGCAATCAGAGAGTGTAGGCTTCTTATCGTGACAAGAGTAAATGGTAGTGTCGTCAGCGAATAATGCCACCTTAGATGTGAGAATATCTGGAAGATCGTTAATGTAAATTAAAAAAGAGTATAGGGCCAAGGATTGAACCTTGAGGAACCCCTGAAGTTACAGGATGTGAAGAAGAGTGTTGTCCATCGAGGACAACTTTTATACTACGATTGGAAAGAAAGGACTCAATAATCTTAAAGACGTTACCAGCTACACCATAAGAAGAAAGCTTATGGAGAAGACCAGCATGCCAAACTTTATCAAAAGCTTTAGAAATGTCAAGTGCGATAGCCTTAACCTCTCCACCTCTATCTAATGCACGGTAAAACCTATCGGTTATTACTGTTAGCACATCAGCTGTAGAACGAGAAGACCGAAATCCATATTGATGATCAGAAAGTAAGTTATTTGATTCAAGATGAGAGATTAAGTGTTTGTTGATTAAAGATTCAAAAACCTTGCTTATGACAGGAAGAAGACTAATGGGACGGTAGTTAGATGAATCAGATCGCTCTCCGGAATTTTTGAAAATAGGGATAACAGATGCTGTTTTCCAGCATGATGGAAAACAAGACTCTGATAAGCACTTGTTAAATAGTTTAGAAAGTATGGATGAAAGCTCCGGAGAACACCTCTGCAAAACTACAACAGGAATGTTGTCAGGACCACAAGCTGTTGAAGAGTCTAAGCAGGAAATTACTTTAGATACAGAAGCTGAAGTGATGCGAATGTCAAGCAAGGGATCAACCTGTTTGACGGCTATGTCAGGTAAAACGCAACTAGTGGAATCAAGAGATGATATTGATGAAAAGTTCTTAGCAAACAATTCAGCTTTGTTTTTAGGTGAGGTGACAAAGTCTGAACCATACAAGAGAGAAGGAATAACAGATTTGCCCTTATTATTGATACTGTTAAAGATTCTCCAGAAGTCTCGAGAGCCTAATTTTTGTGATGAGACACGAGATTTAATGACCTGGGAATAGCGAGCTTTGGCGTCAGACAAAACCTTTTTACAATGGTTTCTGGCGATAGTGAACAGATGTCTGTTATCTGGAGAATTGTTTTGCTGATAGATATGGAAGTAACGGTTTCGATTAGAAATTGCTGCAGCGCAATGTGAGGAAAACCAAGGAGAAGAGTGAGGCTTGACCTGAAATCGTCGAGAGGGAATAAAAGATTCCATGCCAGCCTGAATCCACGAAGTTATGTAAGAAGCACATTTGTCAGCAGGAAGACGAAAGATTTCTACCCAAGGGCCATCACGAAGAAAATCACGGAAAGAGTCCCAGTCAGCTTTAAGGTAGTTGTATGTGGTACGATGATAGGGGGATTCTGATGAAGTAGAAGAATTTGATAATAGTTTTAGAGAGATCAAACCGTGATCAGAAGTACCTAAGGGTGAATGTGGAGAAATTGAGCACTGACTAGGATCCAAAACAAGACATAAGTCGAGTAGAGAAGGTAAATGGTTAGGGTTGTCTGGAAAACGAGTTGGAAAGTTGACTATTTGAGTTAGAGATTGAGAAAGGCAAAAGTTGAGGGCCTTAACGCCAGCAGAGTCACTGACACTAGAGCCAAGCCAATCGGTGTGATGGGCATTAAAGTCACCAACAACGACGATATTGGCCGATGGATAAAGAGAGAGGGCTTGGTCAATTTGATCAGAAATAACATCAAGAATAGTGCAATCTTGGGATGAAGGAGAGCGATATAGAACAAAGAGAAAGGCGATAGAGTGACGTTGTGCTAAACGAAAGCACATAAATGAATAGTCTGTAGATTCAAACCTAGTTTCACGACAAATGGGTGAGTTCTTACGAATGTAGATGCCCAGGCCAAGTATGTGATTATTGGAGTCTTTACGAATTAAAGGAAGATAACCATCAACACTAAGATCACAAGATGGGACAGCCGAACTCAAATTAGTCTCACAAAGAGCAAGTAGGTCTGGTGAACTTTGCAAGAGATAAGACTCAACAGAAGAAAAGTTACTTCGAAGACCACGAATATTAGTAAATGATAGGTTTAGAGAACTTGGTGATGACGATGGTTTTTTGTGTTTTTTAGTTTTAGGTACTTTAGTCATTTTAAATTTATAAAGAACTTGACTCAAGTATAGATAGTACTCAGTACACTATTTAACAACTAAGCAATAGCCTCATTACTATTAATAAACCCTAAGCCGTAACAAAGGGCTTCAAATGTGGCCTCTGCAATGCACACCAAAAGTACAAACAGGGACACCAACCATGCGCAACATGGCACTGTTAGTACTCTGATATTTTTCGGCTGTTGATGGAATCAGCCTCTCTGAGAGCTACCACAGAGTTCGGGAAACCTGACTACCAGCCGGCCTCAGAACCATAAAACTGAGTTTTAGAGCTGTACCCTCATTAGGAGATAATAGAATGAGTTGCCCAGTCATAAAAATAGAGACACAAGCAATACCCACGCATTGAGTCAAGAAGATCCAGCGTTCAACATCCTAAACTGGAAACAATGTATTAAGAATACATCTGCGCCAGCCTAATAGATGAGGAAGGGGTGCGAGGCTGGTCAACAGATAGAATCTGTTTACCCCTTAAGTCTTTGCCTAGGAGGCCTTCTACAAGACAGCAGCTGGATGCATGTAACATCTGCCCAAGATGAGTATTTTTATCGAGACACCATCTCTAGCCTTTACTCAACCAAGAGCCCCAAGGCAGGGGGTGTTTTAATTCGGAGTTAACTTCTCCTAGCCTTTGCCTAAAAAAGCGTATCCTACAAGGCAATTACTTGGTTATAAAAACATGCAGAAAAACTTTCCTTTAAAGTTGGGTTATGTTTATACTCATGAGGCTTTTGGTTATAAGAGTATTCATTGTACAAAATCAATGACTCATGATGGTCAAAATATTCTTTAAGATTTTCGCAAGATAAGAAATCATTTCTTTTAGAAGTTCCAACATTCGATTTTTTTTTCTTTATGTACTGATGAAAATTCTAGTATTTTTTAATATTCTTTTTGGACACGTCTACTGCGTCTCTTTTCGTATGCCCTTTTTGTAAAAGACATAAATGAATCTTAGTTCATCGATAAAAACGATAAGTGCACAACCAATAAAGCAATCTTTTGTGTTATTGAACAACACTTTTGTAATATTTCTGCAATATAAATTTCAAATCACAAGGATTTTAGCAAACATGCTAAGCATCAAATCATCGAAATATTTTGTGAACTATATTAGCATGTTATTTTATTATTTAAAATTTATCAAAAGAAATAATCATTGACGTCTTCCTTAGGTTAAAATCTTCATGCTTTTTTCGAAATAAGTTTCCGAAGGGTTTTTAAATGGCGGTCATTTATAATTATCGCTCCGTAAAATTAGTTAAAATCTTTTTCTTGTTTTTATAACAAATCTATAAAAGACATCTTATAGACATCTATGAAAAAAATGACATCTTATGAAAAAAAATGACATCTTATGAAAAAAAAATTATCTATGCACGATCTATTTTATCCATCTAATATGCATCTAAAACAGAGCAAAAATAGTATCTCTAAAATCAGACGTCTTTTCGATCTCTAATATACGTCTAAAATATACGTATCGGCAATAGATACAAATTAGACCAACTTTAGACGGTCTAAAGACGTCTATTGTTTGCTGGGTAATAGGAATGTACTCTTACGTCTTTTGCAATATAGAGTTTAGTAGTGTTTTTGTTAAAAAGCGCGAGTGACTTTCAGCTTGGCAAACTAAATTACTTTACACGACCAAAAATAGAAAGAAAAGAAACTGAAAAAAAAAAGTAATACACTCTTCCACAGATTAAAAACTAATCTTGTGAGAGTCAGGGTCAAAGTTAAGACTTAGGTCAATGTTTGGATTAGCGTAATCTGATCCTAATCTTGACCCTGAAGTTGTCGGGACGTCCGTAAAATGTCGCATGGTCCTTCATAGGTCGATGCAAGTCTACTAAGTGTAAACGTACCTCTGACCCTCATTTGATATTAATTTTTTTATTTGTTGAAGAATGTGTTGCTTCAGACGTATTAGAAATAAAAGTAAAAAGCAAATATACCTTATCTTTTTTTTCTT